CTGATCGAGTTCGCCAGCGGCTTTAGGATCCCCTTAAGCTCTTTATTACCAATTATGTTACCGGTAATTAATTAGTGATGATCGAAATCAACGTCAATGTGCAGCACGCCATTGCGTTATAATGAAGGATGAGACGTCGACAGTTACGGGTTATGAAATCAGCAGGCTGTCAGCCACGTTTCCCCCTCTTTCCTTTTCCCCTCTCCTGCTTCTCGTTACGAGACGAATGAGTCTCTCGAAATGCGGCAGAGATACGTCGTCCAAAGCTTGTATATTTGCGATCTCGTTCGCTATTCCTCCGGTCCAGGAATTGCTCGGCGTACGTCATGCCGCTTCCGGGAGTGCGGCAACGAACCCTAGGGGCACAATAAAACTGCATCTAAACAACGTCAGCGGACGGGGCAGCAGGAGATGCGGAGCGAGAGCGGAAGAAAGGAAAAGGGCGAAAGGCACGGAAGAGAGGAAGAGATCCGAGCTGCATCGTTACGGAAAAAGGCTAGGTCAGAATGGGTAGCGGCGAGGAGATTGAGGCAAGGGACTTCGCCGGGGAGGACGTGATCGCGTTAACAACAACCGGCGGAGAAAGGTGGGCGTTTCGAGCGATCCGGTTTGAATAAGTAGTTACCGGCCTAATAGTAGCGCCGGACTGTGACGGTCGTTGAATACCGAAATTTCGACCGGGCGCTCTACGAGCTGCGAGCAGATTGCTTAAAGAAGGGACGAATTCGGGAGGGTCGCCGGGTCGGCGCAGGTTGCGGCCTTAGTTTAGGTCTACAGCGTCAAACCGCTATAAACACCTCGATCGACCCCGCTGACTCCTTGCTACTATCTCGTATGCGGTCATTGGACATAAAGCCGGTTTTTCCCCCCCTTTGACCGGTCATCGCCCTCTTCAATTGTTAGTTTTTTCCCTGTCCGGCACGTATAGAGAAATAACTTTCGAAATGTACATCGCAGGTGACCCCGATTCGTATAAAAACTACTAGATAGATCTCTCTTGAATCGCAACTGGATTTCGTTGGCGAGAAACGATATTTTATTTGAAGAATCGTACCGCATAATGGTTGCAATTTTCTATTTAACTAACTTAATCAAGGTTTATCGATAATGAATTCTATCCTTCAATAAAATATTCCATTCGCGATGCCTTTGGTTGTTGCAAAAGAGCGTGTATGCAAAAATTGTATTTTAAGAGAGCCGCGACGGAAGTTTTTATCTTACAGAATATTAGACGAAGAAATTACCATTTCGTTTATGTTTATTAAATGAAGTATTAATAATGTGCAACTCCAAATGCATTTCTTCTCTCAAAATATGAGTTTTTTCCGCCACAAGCTCTTTTTCCAGCCATCGCCTTGAATTTGTTCCTCTTCATCGATCTAAGCAAAGTGAGGAGGAAACAGGGAAACGCAATGCAGGATAAGACGGAGGAAATGTCAGCATCTTTTCTTTTTTCTTCCCTCGAAATTACAGAAAGATGAACGTCGTCCGTGGACGTTTCCTCGTTTCAAAAATATCAGTGGATTTCCGTGCGACGGAGAAACGAGACGCAGGTTATCAAGGTTACAATTTCCGCAATTTTCACAGCGTCGTAAATCCCAGGGACGTGAAATCTCCTCGCAATAATGAATTCGTTGTGAACGTAGTAAAACATCGGAATAGCGCTTCTTCGATTTTGAGGAGAAGTTACTCCTCCGTGGTTAATTCATCCAGTGGGTTACGAGTCTTATCAAACTGCAAGTAAGCAGTGGTTTACGAGACTGCTTTGCGCTCCTTTTAAATTTGAAACTTCCTGCTACCGAGAAAGTCGGTTTATACGCTCATCGTTGGAAACTTTATCTTTTAATTTTCCATTTTCTAGTCCACTGTTAACTTTTCATTCTTCATGAAAAAGAAAATTTTACATTTCGGCCGTACATGTGAATATTCGTGAGTAAAATGTCACTCCGGCTGAATGTTATGCGGAAGCGCGATACTATGAAGATTACAGAAGAGAATTATTATTGTAATATGGAACATAATAAAATGGACAAGATTTTTTTCTCCTCCTTGATTCGATTTTTCATCGTTTAAGACGATTGCTGAAGTACAGACGCAGTCTGTGAGCTCGGTAAAAATCGCTCATATACAGGGTGAGTCTTTCCATATCCGACAAAATTTTTGAGAAGGTAGAACGGATCGAGATGAACGAAAAAGTCCTGTACCATTTTGCAATTTTCGTAATAGTTAACGAGTAATTAATTATTAAAAATCGTTGTCTTAGGTCGGCCTACCGCCCAATTCGAGCGCGTGGCAAGATGTGACCGCCCGGTGATTGATATTGCTATGCGCACATTTCGCTACGCGCTCGAATTGGGCGGTAGGCCGGCCTAAGACAACGATTTTTAATAATTAATTACTCGTTAACTATTACGAAAATTGCAAAATGATACAGGACTTTTCCATTCATCTCGATCCGTTCTACCTTCTCAAAAATTTTGTCGGATATGGAAAGACTCACCCTGTATATATAAGTACAGATTTCCATATCATCGAAAACTGGTTTCATTAAAAATGCGTACGCGATAATATTATCAAATTGAGAACCTTTTCTCTCTCTCTCTCTCTCTAGTATTCAATTTTCGGCCGTTTTGCGCCCGTAGGTATCGAATGCGCGGGCTCGGCGAAAATCGCCGAGGAGAGACCTTAATTCCATCGGAGACTGCCTTTTTTAAATGCAATACGTAATACAAATAAAAAAAAATTGTTCAACACCGCGACGGGGTACTCCCGTGGACGACGGTTATTATCTCTTCACAAATTACATCGAGGTAGCGTACCAGGGCTTTTGGTCTCAACCGTGATAAACCCATCCACTCCTATCCTCCGCCATCCTTCTCTTCCCCCCCCGTCCTGCCACCCCGGTCTCTATTATTTTCAACCGCCCAACTTCTGATATACCACCTGCAACCTCATTTACCTAGCTACTCTATGTACGTTAGACAACACTTATTACCCAGGTAATACAATCGCATAATGCGCCCCTCGTCTTCGCCCCCACGATAATGCCTAATTTAATGGCAAGGAGGAGCGTCGCAATCTCGAGTCTAACGAGGGATTACTGTCCGGATGTTACGCGCCGTCGATCAAATTAATTTACAGCTATGATCGTAGCGATATCGCTTGTCCGACCGTATCTTTACCTCCGAGCCGCGAGTCGAACTGCGCGCACTTAAAAAAATCCGCCCAAGCTCTCGCGCTGAAATTCGAGTTAGACAACTTACACTTCGCACTTCCTACAACACCTACTTTAAACTTTCGTCAAGTTAAAATGGGAAATATAACGCGCTGCATTTCGAGCTGCGTGTATTCGTTACATATATTCGAGTTACGTGTATTCGTGAGAACTCGACTCGGCTAAGGTATTTTTCCGAAATTCTGTTCAAATTGAAGTTTCCGTCCGCGCGTTTTATCGCGCTTGTTATTTCAATATCGGCCCCCCGCGGTGTATGGGACTTATTTACCTTAGCATGATGAAAATGCTCGACGTAAAAAGCTGATGACAGAGTGACTAACGAGGAAAGTTCGGCAACCTGCAAATTCGAAAATAAGAGAACCGCGCACAAATGTAGAATAGTTCGACACTGCCGTGCAACTATGTTTCGCTGCGGATGAGAAAAAAAACCGGATTTAGAGCGTGAAAAAAATCGACTTCAAATTGGTCGGAGGGCACTGCCGCAGAATTTAACGACGTTGTAGAATCGTTCTGCGCCTGAAAACAAAACCGCGAGCGCGATATTTTTCCTTCCGCGTGATCGCGAATGATAAGTGGCTAATTATTATTCACGAAATATGCAAGTTGCACGCTTGAAGAGTGTTGAAACGTGAGTATTAGCCGCTTAACGAGCTCGTGCGACCGTACCACGTGTTGCCGATCTTCTTTGTGTACGCGCGTGTGTGGGCGCGCACGTACACGCACGCATACACACGCGCGCATACACGTGCACTCCCGTATACATCGTGCGTGGAAATGTATCGCGGAGAAATTGCGGAGGGCGATCGATAGTTGAACGCAACGGGATGCTGCAAGCTCTTCTCCCCCGTTTCGTCGCGCTTGAATCGGTAACTCTCGCGTTCAACGTACAATCCTTTGGGTATATTTGGTGATTCTGCCGATCTAATACAATCATGGAAGAAGTTATCTCTCCCTGCAATCTTGCCAGATTACATTTAAGATGCATAAACGTGGAGATTGCCTTCTTCCTCTTGTGAAGCGATACTCAGAGTTAGCGGTGCATATTTTAAAACTAGTTTCGAATCATATTATTACTTTATCTCGGGTGTATAAAATTTTTGAGATCCGCCAAAGGGGAAAAAAAAGAGTTTTTATAAGAATAAACGTGAAAATAGGATATACAAGTCTCTCTTAACATTTAGCTGCGAGAATCTTGAGACGTTCCGTGTAGGTGTTCGGGAACGCAAAATTTTTTTCTAAGAGTGAAGGAAAAGTTCCTTAAGGAATCTATCAAAGAACTGAGATCGTACTAGATACTACGCCGGGAGAGCAAAAGTTTCCTTTAACACTTTTAATACATCAACGGGGATGAAACATTTAAAAATCCGAGATAAAAACACGGCAGGTCGGACGAGCGCTTTATTTTATCTCGAATTACTGTTTCGAGTTGAGCAGACCGCGGAGAAGAGACAATTAAAACTTTAAGCTGAAATAGCACCACCGTCACCGTCACTTGGACAAACTGAATTCTTCAGACGGTGGAAAGCTTTCTTTAGGGCAACAACTCGCTCGGGGGAAACTTTTCGCGATGACTTCAAATGTTTCACCGATGTATTTTTAAAGGATACTTATATATTCCGATCTACATCGAAACTATTATCTTCAAAATTTCAGTAATACGATAAAACGTCTATCTACCGAAAGAAGTAATAGATCATTCATAACTATAGTTAATAAAGGAGTTTAATATTTTTTCTAATAAAAGTATTGCACATTTTATTTTTAGTGGTCGAAAATCAGATCGCTACTCAGGAAACGATGAATGAGGATCGAGACACTGAAAACCCTGGAAACCGCGAAGAAAGTAAATAAATAAAATATTAACACTTGGCTTACACACTCACTCACTCACACGCATATAGTGCGAATAAATAATCTTTTCAATACAGATGAAGAAGAAGATGACGAAGAAGATGAAGAAGAGGGAGAAACTATTTACCAAGAAACTGACTTTAAAATGGACGAATTTCTTCAGAGGTGCGTAACAGCGGAGTGTCCTTGATATGTCGACTTTTTTACCTATAAATTGTTTAATCAATTTTTTTAATTTTCGATCGTTTTTGTTCTTGAACATTAATTATTTTGGTTCGATGAGTTTCACGGAAAAATTTAGTTGAAACTTAGTTCTTAGAGTTTTGTCCCCGATTTAAAATTCGACAAAAGCAAAGTTTTATCATCTGTTTGCTCTTTTGAAGCGCTTCTATCATGATCCGTTAAAAAGAAATTCTGATTCGGTGACTCAAGATATTCTGTATGCGACAGAACATAGTAGCTTTTTAGAAAGTAACGTTGGTTTTGAAGGTTCGCCAACGTGAAGATCGTCAAGGCTTTAGCACTACTAATGCAACAATTCGAAAACAACCCAGTCGAGGTAAATCACTATGTAACAAAAATGTTACATCGGATTGCTTGGGATTGTAAAATGCCGGCTATGATATTTCAAGCGTCCATATTTCGGACTTTTCAAAGAATCCTGCAATCAAGGGACCCTGCACATAAGGTAATCGGGCGCACGGAACAAATTACACAGTGCGCCTAACTAACCGCGATAAGTACACCTTGTATGGTTTATAAGCTTTATACGTTTGCAAAGTCGTTAACGTTACACTTTTGATATTGTCCAGTGCAATAATCTTCCTCGACGGATTTTCTTTCCGTCGCGATGTTACATTTGATCGCTCTGCTGTTTTTTTAGCCAGCGATAAAACTTCTTTTCCTTTCTTGTATCGCGCGATAAATTTCCCCACCGTGCTTCTATTGCATCTTTGTATCGAGCTTAATGGCCCACAAAAGTGGACTCGTCGAGCACCAGAAAAATCGATTCCTGCTTTAGGAGCTCCAGAGGTTCGCGGTCTTCATAATCCGCCGTTTCATCGAAGTCGCGAAGAAGAACCGGAAGTCGTACATGGAGCTGTTCTGCTGGAAGACTACCCGCGACGCGACAGAAATCGTGGATGGCTACAGCGCGGAAACGACTAACAAGAAAGTTTCACGAGCAACCTGGACGGAGGCGGAAGAGGATGAGCTGCGTACCCTCTTCATGGAGCATCAGACTAACAAATATCCTCAAGGTAAACTCTTTATATCGTCCATTTCTCACGGAGGAGTCTCGTGTACACATCGTTGAACTCGATAAATTAGGGCCTTTTACGAAAACGTGTTCAAATATAGAGCTTTTTATTACTAAGCAGACAAAGGAATACGAGTGATTCAGTGCGATATTTGATCTATAATTTTTTTTTTAAGATTTAATCATTATCTGAATCGGATAAAAGAGTATTTCCGTTTACTCTCAAATATTCAGAGACAAGGAAAATACACGGGCTGGATCGTACAATACAGATCTGCAACGATTGTGATGTTGTAAATTTCTAGATTTAATTGATTGGCTGTTGGAGCACGTCATCAATGAAAATAGAACGCGGCGTACCATCATCAAGAAACTCAAGGAGATGTGTTTGATTGTCAATTCTAAGGTCAGTTTCACTTTTATCAATTACAACGTCCCTCGGGCGCTAAAGGGAACAAACGGTCTCGAGTCTTTTTCGATAGTAATTTATTTATTTCAAGGATAATATTTCTCTCTCTCGCGGCGGAACAGCCTTAAAAGATTTAGCAAACAAATTTCTGTGCCTCTCTGCTAAAAAAGTAACGGTCCATCCATGTGCCTCGCGGCAATCCCCGTTGTGCTCCGCCTGACAGGATCAATGATTTACGAGAATCTTGGAACGGCGGGGAGGGGGGGGGGACCATTCTCTCCCGGCCTCGAAAATAAGTTTCTCTAGACTACCTCTGCTGACGGGGTGAACATATGCAAAAAAATGGAGCCGGGAATTGCTGCAGGAACTGTAAATTCTCCGGAGACAATACCTCTCTACGGCGTGAGGCTTTCCACCCTCATTTCTTCGTTTCTCTTCCTCCTGCCGTTGCGTGAGGTTTCCGACCCGCGAGCTGTGCGTTCCTTCCGCCAGCTGGTAGTCTCTTTCCCGGGGCGTGGAAAATATCTGTGCGCGCGACCCCCTCGTCAACTCCGGCGGCCCTAAAACCGGCGGTTCCTTGAGAAAAGCTATCGTTTTGTTTGCCTTCTGCCTTACGACATACGTATAAACATTTGCATCACCCTTCGGGCTACGAAAACGCGAAGGGAACGTGACCCGGGCGCTTTATTGTGTTTGTTGAACTGTAAATGCGCGTGTTATGGGCGGGGTGTTCTACAACTTTCGTTTCGACAGCGAGAGCGAATTGAAATACTTCATTTACTTCGTAAAATAGTTGGGCGCACAAACTCCCTACAATAGATTAATACAATCTCAGGAGTATTTCATGTTAATTAACCTTATTAGAATTAACGCTACATTACTTTTTCCTCCCCTCCCCTCTTGAATCATTAACATTTCGCGGAGAAACGCTACAGCGAAGTATATTAATCTTGCTATGTTTTGGAAGCGTTCCTTTTTCCCTTCGTTATAACTCTTTTCTTGTGAAAATGCGCAGTGCAATACGGTGATAAAGCATGGGAATGCGTTAATCAAGCTTCTTATTGCGGCAGAGGAGTTACTAACTAGTTACCGGCTTATTTAAAACTTGAAATTAATTGAGTTTGTAGGGAAGCTCCTAACAAGGGAAAAAAGCGTGGCGGGGGATAAGCGATGCAATACACAATATACCGGATCTTATTCCACCGCGCTTTTTGCGGAACGCGACATAAGGGATTTGGCAAGAAATTTTTCTTCCCTCGAAAGACGTCAGCGTTTCTGGGCGCCAGCAGTTGACAATAATTATCTTAAAACACAGCGCTGGTCGACCGTGCGCGATCGGCCGCGCGTTTTGCAGACGAAACGCGACATAAGGGAATCAGCAAAAAATTTTTGTTCGAAAGACGTCAGCGTTTTTCAACGCCAGCGGTCGGCAATAATTATTTTAAAACAAAAGGCTGCTCGCGACCGTTTGCAATTTTTACCCAACCGTTTCTTTACCGAAGTCTTATTTATTTAAGGGAAACGAATATCCGACGTGGGTAATTGTTTCGCCGAGGAAAAAGTCGAGTATGAAGTATGATTAATTTTTCGATAATGTTTCACATTAACCAGCCGGGGAGAGAGAAAAAAATATTTGTTCCCCCTCCGATCTCTTAATTCGCTATTAATCACGGGCGTGCAGTCATCGGCGAAAAGAGGGTGGCTACGTCCGCGGAAACGCTTTCTCCGCGCTATCGATTCCTTCGCGAGGTCTTCCGGTGGAAAGGCTTAGCCGCGGAAGCGTTTCATTTAAATAATTTCATGCGTGAGTACGTTCCGTCTCTTTGAACGAAGAGAGAGCACGGTCGAGGCGGAGACTACGGCCGAGTATTCATTTGACATTCATTTAGTCCGTGGAAGTCGCGCGATATTGCTCTGACGGCCATTTAGGGGCCTCGTTTCGCCGAGGGTGGAGCGTAATCGCTGGAAAACGAGCGACCCAGCTTCTTCTTTTTAAATACGCCTACTGACTTAGAAGCTTCTCCAGAGATTATACGCGGGACGCTTTGTCTCATCAAGCCTGGAGATTATGCGCACGCAAAGTGCTCTCCGAGAGAAGATTATAAGGGTTGAATAGCTGGACGCTAATTTATATGCACACATATATATTTATAAAGACATCGATATTCATTGGTTATTCAAGCACCTGATTATCGCCGAATCAATGTAAAATGCAAAATATAAGTTTACTGTATTTCGTGTAGTGACTTGGAGCTAATGAGGCTATTTGCTCACGTGACTGATTATCTTGGAAAAGTTGAACGGTGGTATCTAACGGCAATTTAAAAGTGGATTTAAAATATCTTAATCTTGTTCCATCGCGAGCGATGTACGTGGTCTGACCCATTTTCTTAAATCTCATAATTAATTAGGGCGTGCGAGCCGAGGTACAAAAGAGATTACCCAAGGAGTGGTCTGAGGAAGAAATCGCCCAGCTCACAGAACTTTGGACTCAGTTCAAGGACGATGACGGTAATTTTTTTAATTTATCCCCCGGCTAATTTCTGATTATGATATTTCCTAATTTCCTCTCTACCTTCGGAGAGTATAAATTTATTCGGACGATCGATCTATTCATCCCCTCGCGTTTCTGTCCGTTTGTTTTGAATGCCATTAAATGATTATTAAAATTAATTGCAATTATTAATCACGGATAAATGGAACAAAGAAATGAAGTTTACAACTCGATGGCGCAGTGATATGAATTTCTCGAAAATCTGGCAGCATATTGTAGTAATTGCCATTTATCGTAATTTGTAATTTATCCGCGAATTATACGCGCCAAAAATGGCCTTAACCCAATTCCCGATATAAATTTTCGCGATAGAAATTCGCCATAAATTTCAGCGTTAATTCTAGCCGGTTATTCGCGTTCCGAAACTGTTGAAATATTTCGCGAATGCGAAATTCGTGCGAGAATTCGTTAACACCGGAACGATTCCTAGGATTTAATTAAGCTCCGAACATCGGACACGCTTGGCTGCTTGTAGTAATAATTTCGAATCCGCTGGGACGAACGAAGAATAATATCCTTCCTGACAGAGACATTTTCAGAAAAGTCTTGTAAAACTTGTTTCATTTTCATACGAATCCACCGCTCTCCATAACTTTTAATCTCCGAAGTCGCTTCCACGCCAAGCGTAATTCTCAGATGTCCACGAAATGTCAAGGGCATTTTTCTTTGCCTCCCCTTCAAAAATTTCCGCAAAGTGTTTTATTCCGCCGTGTTCTTACTTCGCGGTTGTTAACCTTAGAACTCCCAGCGGGCGGACAAAAGTATCCGCAAAAATGTCACGTCGCGAGAGAGATAATTCTCTTTCTAAATTTAATTTGCCCCATAACAAATCTCTCGAACACGAGTTTACGCTTAATATCGGAATCGCGTTTATACGTAAAGTACCTTATAATGTTCCGGGAAGTTAAATTACAAGTCCGTAAAGAGCGACGTCCAATTGACTTATAAATACATTTCGTCGACGTGAAATAAAGTCCGTCCCTGCAGATAAAGTCCGCCCGTGTCCCTTCGTAATCTCTAATTGATTTAACTTTAAATCCCTTCAAAATCTCCGACAGTCGTCTCGACCTTCCCTCGCGATTCTCCCACGAAGCCTCCCTATCGTTCGCGTCGCGCAGCTTCCTGACGACGCTATAAAAATCGAAACTACGCTATGTCCCCGACAGATCCCGTGGATTTGATTTTCACCGGACTTAGAATAAAGCGGCCGAAGCCGAAGATCAAGGAGAAGCTTCTGGAATTAGGGCTGGCGCAGGATCGCAGGGAGCTGCGCAAAAAGCGGTCCAGAAAAAGCAACCAGGGTGAGTATACCTATTCGTTCTTCCTCCCTCATCACGATCCGGTCTGGAGCATCCCTTGTTCCGGCCAATCCCATCCCATTCCATTCGCATCTGTCTTTCTTACTATCCTCCGATTCCGCGACTATTCCCATTCGATCAGTCTTCTAGTAACGCGATTGCCGGCGACTGCATAGAGCGACTCGCTTTCAACGGGGAAAGCGAAACGACGTGGAGATGGAAGGAGCGCGCGTGGGAGGAAGCGAGAAGGAGTAAAGATCAATTTGTACAGGATTCTTCTCGCTCTCCTATCCCGATTTCTTACAGACCGGGGAAGGGAAAAAAAACCTTTCGTCGATATTACCAGTGGAGACAAGTCCGCTCGTATGTTTGCAGGATCGTTTTTTTTCCCCCTCCCTCTTTTATTTCTCGCTAGAGCGAGGCGAGTGTGAATCCGCGAGAATTCTTACCTGTATATACGCGAATTGTTCCGATATTCAATTCCGATGTTACCGCGTAGGTTCAACGTTTTCCGAAATTTTCATTTCAACGCGAAATGCTTCGGCTATGAACAAGGAATGTTAATTTATTAATTCAGATATCCAATCGCGCAGACGATATGCAATTTCTAAAATCGTGACAAACGTAATTGCGTGTTTTTATTGAATTGTCGAAGTATTTAAATCCCTATTTGTTCAACCGGTCGTACAGCATTTTGCGCGATAGAAGTTATAGAATCGGAATGCGCTGCTAACCGAGTACTGTTCTGGCGATTTAAACTTATTGAACTGCTAATCATTTATACCATGCGGTATTCCGCAGTTACGTAACGGATAATATAATCAATCTTCAAAACGTTCGCATAGATTTATTTGCAGGTGAAACAATAATACACATCACTTTTGCATTTCCAATATGTTAGAATCACTAAATAATCGTGAATATCTTTTCTCTGTTACAAATAGAACGTAGTTGTGATAAATTATAATAAACATTTAATATGTTACACGTTAAATTTTAAAAGTTACAGATATAAAGGCCGAATATAATCTCGGCGTCTTTTTCTTTCATACGCGATCGGTTGTCGATGAATTGTTCAAGCAATTGCCAATCCAATTTTTTTTCAAGTACTCGAAACAATACTTACGCTCTCCTCCCATTTTGGTTGCTCGTATTTTATGCCTATAACGATATCATCGCGGAATATCAATCTTGTTATTTAATATCGGCTGCGAATTCCAGCCGCACTTTCGCCGCTCTTGGGCCAATATCACTCACCTTAGCTTCCTATTATGGTGCCGGAAGGAATTTCATATTTATCATGGATATTGTTTTCCTCTCTCATGCCCCTTATTTGTATTCAATGCATTGAGATAGCTCATATCATAGATATACAGCTGCGAGATGAAGCATTGCCGGCGAGTTTTGGTTCACCTTATGTGTCTTTGAAATAACATTTTCCTTCAATGTCGCGTTTTTGATGCAATCTCGCTATCCCATATGGGACTATCCTGTAGAAAATGCGATTGTTTTCCCGTAGCAGATAGAGTGCACGCAATTAATTATTCGGAAAGCGTACACACGTACTCATGTCAAATCTAATATATATAATTTATTAACTTCAACTTTCACTCAACCACACTCTTTCGCTCTCCACACTCATTTTTCCGCGCCTCTTATCTTTCATCTCTCTCTTGACTAATTTTAATTACCCTCTTAAGCGCGCACCGCTCAAAATCGGAGGCACACGTCAAAAGTACACGCAACCATGAGGCACACAAAAGTCCACCAAAATAGAACCAAACTAGGACGGAGGACAGTGTTGGTGTACGCCTATAATATAGACATAAAACGGAGCATTGCTCCGCCCTATGCAACCTGCGTATGTACCCCGTGCATTCCCAATCCTGTAGAAAATGCGATTGTTTTTCGTAGCAGATGGATTCACGTCAAATCTAATAATCGAACGGCAAGACATCTTATCCGCGTAAAGCGAATGTATTATTACAACGTGAAAAAATATATTTCTGACAAACATTATTCCGTACAAAAAAAAAGCTGTAAACGCGATAGACGCGAAGATTCAAGACAAACGTGAATCGCGCGGGATTATATTCCAGACTTATCTCGTTCGAAAGTTAGAGAAAGGGAAAACTTAAATTTAGTACTATGGGTTTTATGCGTCCTTTAATATGCATCGTGTGTACGAGATTTATTTAATGTTACGTGAAAATGCCTCGCGCACACACACACGCGCGCGCGCGCGCGCGCGACATTGCACGGCGCGCTTTACACGCTGATGAACGCTCGCTCGAGAAAGGTTCACATCGTTTCCATGCATTGTGCGCAAAGGTAAATCGTCGTGGGAAACGCAAGCTGCCAGTAATTCTGACGGGAACGAAAGTTCAGCCACCGACGACGAAGACGGCGAAGAAACTCGAAAATCCTCGAAGCGGGGCGGCGCGCCCCGGCGGAGCGAGGAGCCGACGAAAAAGAAGCAACGGAACAGGCGGAAGCTACCGACGATCGTTTACACGGATGCACAATTATCCGGTCTCTTGAAGGACGTCATCGACAGGGGTAAGTATCGCTGCCCTCTCCCACGGCTCCCTCCTCCGTCCCGACGTGCATCCGCGTTTTTGTGATTAATGAGAGCGCACTTGTCGCGAGAGAGCGGCGCGTGCAACGTATCCCTCGTTCCCTTCGCGCAGGATAAATGTTCTCCTTGCCGGAGAAAAGGGAGGACGGCGATGATTTGCAGAAGCCATTATGCGGGCAAAAAAAAGAGATGACTTGTCGGAAAAACGGCTTCTCGACTCACTGTTTGGAGTATGTCACGTGGCGGGTTTCGCGAATCCCACAAAAAAAGCAAGCTGTTTTTAAGGGAAAATTTATCAATCTAATCCACTTATGCGAATCCAACCGTTCTGAAAGTATACGCAAATAATACAGCCACGGCGAAAAATGTTTGCCACCCACGTGAAAGCTTGGTAACTTTAAATTATTTTTACACTCGGGTGAAATAAACAATACCGGTCGATGACGGCCTTTTTACAACGATTTGTGGTGTATTTCACGGTACTATGAGGACATTTCGCTATTTTTTTTCCTCAAAAAAAGTAATTGTATTTTCAAACGTTTAGCTGAATCCAATTCATACGCTTTTCGCATTTTTGTAGCAAAATAATATTATTCTTCAGAGTAAGCCGCTATAAGTTGGAGATTATTAAGCAACGTGCGCACTTGTAGCGTCCGCAGTAAACTAAATACTTACGAGCAAAATTCAAGTTTACTGTAAACGTTTCGCGACTTGTCCTTGCGTGGTTGGAGCGACAAGAAGTCACATTTCTACACGGAAAGACCGGCTAAGGCAAAAATGACTAAAATTAAAATGTTGCCGTATAAGTAGTGGGGGCATCTACATTGTTTTGCGTTGCAATATTCGCCAAGTTTGCCGCATAAAACGCATATAGTTGTCTCCACCACTTATCATACCAATGTGGGTATGACAACCACAGATACAGCTGTCCCAAATATTACTATTCATTGGGGTTGTGCCAACCCTAATTAGACACGTGGTAACCATATCGGTCTCTCCGTGTAAGCATTGAGGGGGTGGCGAATACTTTTGGCCAGGGCTGTATAGTCATTTGCAATATTTATTAAGTCCAAAGGAAGAGTACTTGGTCCTCCCTCGAGGTATTGTTCAATTACCATGAAAGTAAAGGGCTGACGAATAACGCGTAATTGAGCCCAATAGCAAAATGCGTCGTTAACGGAGAGAAAATTAATTAATCCGGCAAATCCCCCGGGGGAATAAAAATCTCGCGTTAAATCAGACATGAGAGAGGCGTTGGAATGGATCATGGAATCCCTGCAAGACGTTCTGGACGATCGTGACGAGGAGAGCTCCGAGGGCATACCCTTGGTGCCGCTGACAGATTGCTCGTCGGCCGCGATGGATTTGCCGAGTTTTCAAAAGCTCCTTCGCGCCATGGGATTTGTGCCACCGGCTGATGCCCAGGAATCTTATTGGCGTATCCCGGCGAATATGCTTACAACCACGCTCCAGAAGCGCTACAAACTCATCGAAGACGCTCTAGCCGGTGAATTCGTTGTCGAGGGTAAGTGAATGAGCAAATACGGGTGTAAGGTGACGATCATTTACGGAAGTGTTGTTATAGAAACGCGCGAGGATCGTGCCGATACCGACGAAAGGGCGGACGACAGTGAAGACGACACCAATGTGTTCGAGAACGTTAAAAAGTTCTTTACGCCTAGAGGTCAGTGCAGTTGTATTTTTTTTTCTATCGGAGAAAAGTAACGTAAATTTTGCGCCATCGCGAAATATTTTTAGAGCTGCCTGAAAGAAAAGCAATTTAGCATTGATACAGCAAAGTCAAGATTTATGAATTACTCTCTTAGAATGCCAACTAAATCCAAAAGTCCTTTGGAATTTATTTGTTATGCAGCGTATTTAAAAATGTACGATTTCTCACTCTCGTGTAAAAAGATCTATAAAATGTACATACTTTTAGACCCGGGACCGTCGACTTCCGCGCAATCGGAACCGTCTAGTAAAGTTCAGTTATCACAAAGATCCAAAACATTATTGACATTAAACGAGGACAGTGATGAAGCAGAGGCTATAGAAAAAAATGATGAAACGAGAGTCGCCGTGAAAGCGCATAAAGGTACATCGCTGTCAATTAATTCGGTTATTCTAATGAACAAGGGGCGGAAAATAACATTTTCTCGCCCTCTGGTACTCGAGCCAGCAAACTGTTTCTTTATCGCAAGTTTACCGACAAAGAAATTGATCGGGTCAAATTTTTAGACACTGATAACAGCATTCGCGTTAATATGCAATTTTAGAAAGTACAGGCAACGTGAGAAATCGAGTAAGGACGCTCGACGACTCCTCCGAGTCGGAAATGGAAATCGAGAGGGACATCGGTGACATGAACGGTCAGTAACGTATGCTGATAAAAAAAATAGGAATCGATCGATCCTGCTTGCTAATCACGCGTTAAACTTTTATACGTTTTACAGACGACACAAAGAGAGATAGACCTGAGTCTTCATCCGATACGGACAAACCGTCCAGTAAGAAACGTCGATTACTCGACAGTGACGAGGAGGGAGAATCGCTAAGAAGCGATTGCATCGAGGCAAATGGCGCTCCTGTAATAATTAGCGACGATGAAGAATTGCCCAACGTACGGTCTAAGCGGTCTGCATTATCCCACGTAATAATCAGCGACGAAGAAGATTAGGAGAGTGCGTTTATATGTTCGTTTTTATTCCAGATATTTAAATATTCTTAAACACTCGAAAACATATTTTTTTGTTTGCTCTTAACTCGAACAATAATTAAAGCGAAAATTAAACTAAAACGTGGGCCGATTGTTCCAACTCCTTGGTAAGTTAATCAATAGTTAAATCACATTTGTCTTCGTTTTTTTTTCTTCAAATTAAACGTATAATTTAACCATTAGTTGCCAAGACGTTGGAAAAACGGGGCCCTTTGTCGAATATTCTTCTATGATAAATTTGCTTCGCCGAGATAAAATTTGTGTGATAAGGTGGAAATAAGTATTTAATTTTAACAGAAAAGAATCACAAGTGACAATTGCGTGTTTTGAGAAAATTCGTCTGTGGCTGAATTTTGAGAAAAAAAATCGCTTCAACATTGTTAGCTTCTGTTGGGAAGGCGACACGTACGGGACGCCTTGCAGGCATCGGCTTTATCCGCGAGCGCTCGTACCGGGGGCTTACACACTAGGCGTTGTAAGCTTCGTCAAGGTCCCACGTGCTATTCCCCTCCGCGATACGCCCTTACGAGCGGTGGCCACCCTGGCGCACGCTTCAGGGTGCCAAGAAAAACAGTTCCCGAAAGGCGTCCACATTTCGCCAAGTAACGACGAAGAGAACATGCGAGCGCGGCGGTGCCGGCTGGCGAGCGTGTCTCCGGCGTCGACGCCGCCGGCTGCGGGTCATCGACCTTGGTCACGTGGCCGCCGGCCCGGGCACTTCCGCGCCCGCGCCGGGCTTGCAGTCCCGCGTCGCCGCGACCGACCTCCTCGATCACGTGCTCCCCGGTTCGGCGGTTGGTCAATGCGGCTGACTTTACGTCTTTTGATGGGCAGGTGAGGAGTCTTGGCGAGTGTTAACGATACGTACGTGTGCATCGAGACGTAATCGCGCGACGAAAGACCAGCCCTCACCTTTCCCGGTGCCCACCTTCGACGGCTAACGACGGCGGCGCGGACCGGCGGGACCCACGCGCGGAACGACGCGTAATGTCGCCGCAAGGATTGCGCGACTCGCCGATATACGATCAGGAAATCATGCCGGGCCAAGAATCGCGAAAAACGCCTAGCCCGCGAATCTAGTCGCGAACGTTGCGTCGTATTGTCGCGCGCGACGAGACGCCAAGCCCCGCACAAATTTACATGCGTAATTAGTCAACCGCTGTTCGCTGATAAAGACGTTCAACTGTCTCTGTTCCCTCGCTTCCCCATTTTACTCTATTACCTCGCCGTATTGTCGTCTTTATGTAGTTACATATTTCTTCATTATTTTATCATCGGCCGACTTGACCGTTCTATCTAAATCATCTAGGTATTCTGTATGTATTTAATAATAAAACGAAACAAAGTTATTCCCATTCCTTTCGTATGTCTGATTCTTACACACGTTACTTTATCTTGTCTTATCTTACGCGTGAATTTTATCTTTTTTTTTATTTATATATTTTCTACTATGTTCTTTTATCATGTACTTGCCATTTATCTTCTTTACTTTATGTATGCAAATTATACTTTGTGTATAAGACATTGCATTTCCTTTCCTACATTTATTGATTCGAGTATCGCCGTCACATTGTGAAATCGAGCCTGAACACGAGTATTGATGGCCCCGGTGGCTGAGCGGTAAGTAGAAAATCTAGGGTCTGATCACGGGCTGCCGTGATCTAATCTATTAATCTACTTGCGCACGAGCGCGGGCACGTCTACGGCGGTCGTCATCCCGTCATCTTCGTCACTATAGAACGGCCAGATTCCAGAAGGGTGACCACGTGCATTCTAATCTCAACTTTCGTATGCCAGGGGCGCATGACGCGGCGGGAGGTGAGCCGTCGCGGCGAGTCCACTCGCGGAATCCAAGCTGCCTCGTCAGGACACGTAGCTGCCGTGATAAGATAGCATGCGAAAGAGTTAGTAGACCGCGACCAGCGCGCCACTCATGGTCCCCTGGTAGAAGCGCGGGCTTCTTATACGGTTGTAGGTGGATGGCACATCTCCTCTCTCTTTGTGCGGGGCATCCCCACTCTGTGCGGGGAATCCCCTCCATTCGCGCCCGCCCTTCCCCCTCTTCCACGCTTTCAGCCGGACACGACGTGGCGGAGAGAGAGACTGCTCTTGAGAGCGAACAGGAATCTGGCGTACAGTGGAGATTTAGCAAGCGGATATTCTCCTCTGGTACTCAATAATTTCCTTTAAACGTCATCTGAATAAAAGACTGTTGAAATTAATTTCCTTTACAATACTTGAAGTGGAAAAGAAGTCGACCGTCCGAACGGGTCAAATAATCAATCGATTGGACGGTGATATCAGGGTCTATAATTTTGTGTTTAGAAAAAGTTCGCGGTCATTTAAATCTCGATTAATGCTCCAAATCATAAGAATGATCTTACAATATTATAGTAGCAACAGATATCCAAGATAGTATTAAAAATAAAGTGTGAGATTTAAAAAAGTTTTTTGAGATTTAGTTAAAGCTTGTAAAAGATTATAGATTTTTACATCTTCACATGCATTTTACATTTAAAAAAGTTTACAGTTTTTTAAGTTATTCAGACGATCGATAGTCAGTATTTGCATTCACATTAATTATACGAATCATCTATTTATCGCCGTCTTATTAGGAAAGTATAAACACAAACAAGCTTCTGTCACGATCATTAATCTCTGAACAGTGTTCAATCGTAGCCGCGTATGATGACAGTTAAATGTTTAGCGGAAGGACGATTGTTCGTGTGTAAAAAAAATAGCTATTTTTACGCGGAAATTTTTTTTTATTGTAGAATTATGTGGAATATATCGTCTTTAATCAATTACGATACATACATTTTACTTCACCTGTTACTATCAGATTACTCAACTATATAGATAATATTTATAAACTCTCATATATTAAAAGCAAATACGTGTGGAGATTAATTTTAGTTCATTCATCTAGTTCAGAGATTGTGCGCAACATTACAGAGTTTGACATTGCCATACTCATTATCTGTAACATAAATTTAACATTTTGGCTTATGAATAAATGTTGCGATAAATTTTTTCCGTTGGCTAAAATAATGAGTTAATTATAATTCCCGACGTATTTTCGTGATTTATATTTATACTTAATTTTTATATTTGCACAAAAATGCTTTGTGCGAAAATGTTAATTAATAAAAATATATTACAACGTTCATTAATAAAATTAACATTTTTTTGCATAATAAGAATCAGTGTACAACAAGGTAAAATGAAAGCGAAAGTTAAGAGAATGTCAAATGCAATCCCAATTTATACGATTAGTTGCGCACACACACACACACACACATATAGTGGAAAGTCCCCTATTATGAGATAGGATCCTAATATAGGATAGTGGGGTTTCTGTTAAGTTAATAGGCATCATCGGTTCATTCCACCATGAATTTATTGCTATTTTAGTGGAAAATTCATTGTTAGATCGTGTAATCGTTGCGAGAAAGGATTTGTGATTGACTTTAGGTGTTAAACATATGCTATTTTATATTATAAACCTGTCTCATAATAGAAGACTTTCGTCTATGTATAAAAGTTGTGGTGTGTAACATTACTTACGACTCTGAAAGTTTCCAATGAGAGAACGTAAAATGGACCGCCGGTTAAAACAATCGATCTCTGCGCTCGCACCATAATAGTTTGCACTAATCGACCAATGTCACAATGTTTTGACTGTTTTCTGAAATCCACTTGTGCTTTTTTCTCAAAATCTACGAATTCCCACCCGCAAGAATACACTGAATGTGCAATTTGCAAGCCCTAGAATGATACAAAAGTTAAAGTCAGTGTAATTGTGTCTAACAATTATAGATTGGCGTTTCTAACTGCGTATCCACTCAGAAATTACTCGTCGATCAACGTCGATATGACGGTTTCGATGTCGACACATCGATCGACGAGTCATTTCTGACTGAATATTTTCGTGTGAAAGTTCTTAAGACAACTTTGATAAGCGAAACTAACCAAATGTTCGAGTCGAGTGGCGAAGAAACAGAAAAAGTACAATTGAAAGGCGGCGCATAAAAAGTACTCAAGGAGAGCCCATAATTTCAAGATAGATTCCATGTCCAACTGTCGAGATGCAAATTTTACAATTTAATAATTCGAGTGCCAGTATTGAATGTGCAGAGTGTTCGTGAGATCAGCGCATATTGCCGAACACTTTGTAGAGTAATCCGTACCGCAATTTTTATCACCGATGCCTCGAACGAGACTAGACAGAGGATAACTAACGTTTCGATGCATTGCGCGAACATTGTTGGACTGCTGAAAGTTTGCAGCATTTTTAGAAATCTAGAAATATATATATTTCTTAAATACCATCAACAAAAAGCAGGGTTGGGAAGTAACTCGTTACTTGTAACGAAGTTACATTTACTTTTTTAGTAACCCTAACTTAACTTCGTTACTTTCTGTCCATCTGTAACTGTAACTTAACTCAGTTACATTTTTTCGATAACTAGTAACTAATTTAATAGTTACATTAATAGTTACTTTATATTTTTTAACCTCCACGAATCGCATTAGGCCTTGCATTTGCGCATAAACACCTTTATCCAAGCTTTACAATTAAAATGCAGATTTGATATTTTTATTTTTATCGCAAGAAAGTAACTGCAAAATAACGATTCGTTTCTTCTTGAGTAACTGTAACTAGATACTTTTATAAAGTAACTTTCCCAACCCTGACCAAAAGTTATTTAAAAATTGTCATTTGCAATACGTCAAAGGTTCGATTGAAGGAAATCGAGATCAATAGTGAAATTGACTAGCACAATTATTGGATTTACGAGACATTACACACTGAACTAGTGAAAATATTACTTTATAATCTCTGTGTGACAATCCACGCAGGCCTTTAATTTGCTCTCGAGAATGAACATGGTCTCTGACCCGCTGCAATTTCCATATAAAAATATTTCATCTCCGTGACTAAAGGAGCTTGTTTTAAAACAATCGATAACATAAATCATACTTATCGAAATCGATTTTCACCATTATGGTGTTGATATATTGAAATTGCGCGCAGATGACCATTAGCACGGTGACGTAAAAAGCGTCGTAGCAAACAATTCCAAGCGCAGGAGATATCCCGCCGATTATCTGCATGAGATACAGGCAAGCGTAATTATAAACGTTGTCAGTGTTCAGCGGATACCATCCGACAAACGGCAGGATTCTGTTTTTAAATGTATGATTAATTGAGTTTATCTGGTCGGGTGCCCATTCTAGGAGCAGTGGATTGGCACACCAATGCAGAACGCCGTAAACGCAGGCGAATGTCCACCACCACACGAAAAAATTTGAATACTTACGGACGTGTTCCATCTCATTTCTATATATTCGATATCCTGATAAAAAGACTTCGTTAGCAAACTCACAACGTACACAGTTGGAAAATTTGTGTTTTCTTGTTAAGAAAAATGCCGGCTAAAATTTTTCTGTTAAATGTTTAACACATTCATGTGTTAATTTCACATATTGCTCTTGTGTTAACTGACCTCAAATATAAAATTATTTAAGTAACTAAAAAGAACTGCTAAAACAACACAATGTGTACTTATTTTTTAATCTTACACAATGCATATTTTATCTGTTAAAATTTACAGAATAAAATGTTGATTTTATTTTATACAACATAAGTGATTTCGAACCGTCATTTAACTTATTGCATCTGTAAAATGTAAAAATTATAGTTTGTAAAATTTATTTTGTCATTAAAAATGTATTAATTTTACACAAAATTTATTTCAAATTATTTTGAGATTTGCATTTATTTTGTGTATTAAAATATTAACAGAGTATTAGTGCGATCATTTAGCGTATCCGTATTATGTTAAATTAATACAAAAATTTATGTGGACCGTTTGGGACATGTGATACATCTGTTAAATTTAACACAAATTTTTCAACTGTGTACAGAAATACTAATTCTAACTATTAATTCGCGAAACAAAGCTGTAATATTAAAAGAACGCGGGCTGCGATTCTGAAGTCTGCGTAGAAGATTATCTCGTAAATATTCATTAGCTTTGAAGCAGCGAAAGTCGTACGACGCAATGTAATTAATATAACACAATCTCTTTCTACTTTCGTCTACCAGAGGGTAATTTAAAGTATCATCTTTCATGATATATTTTAAGAGAGCTTCATTACGGAAGCTTCACCATGAAACAAGTTGCACCGGCAAACAGATAATTTATGTACCTTCCTCGCTCTTATCGATCCTTTGGCAAAGCACGTGGCATTTTCCTAACTTCGTCACGATATCAACGATCTCTCTATTTGTCCGTATACAATAACACCACTTCAGCAGGCCTGTGAAATGCATACCGATTACTCCGATGATATTGGCGAATAATTTCAGATCGTTGTTCATCGTAAGCGCGACTACTTCCGAGAGCAGCAGCAGGGTGTTGATGAACATGAAGACAATCGTCGCTCCAGTTGATAGCAACGTTTTAAGTAGCGAAAGCGACGACTCGCCGGACCAGATACAGGCGTATTCGAGTACCCGGAGCATGTCCGCGATATAATACTCTAAAGACGTCGCGTCCTCTCTTCTGCGCGCCTCGTCGTGCTCGCTCTTGCGGCTCATGCTCGGCGAGAAAAGAGGGGTGGGCGGAGTCATGTCTGAAAAATCGAAACGATCCTTCAGCGTGAGGCTGAAAGTCCGGCGGTTCGTTCATGCGGAAAGATACGGGACGATTTCGCGCAAGTACGCGAGGGACATAATACGGCTCTTGTTTCGCATATTCTCCGGATACATGTACACCGGACAATTACGTACGTTACGTCAGACGACCTAAGACTCGCGTATGTACGTACACGGCTCACGGACGGTCTCGCGAATGCGGTGGAGTTTCATCGGTGGATTGTACGGGCGGCGGGCACACTCGCGCGATCGGCAAACGGAGGATAAAGGCTCCCGTTTGTGTACTTTAACCGTGAGAAAATTGTCACCGACTCGTCGCGCGTCAACGGACTGCTTTTGCTAATTGACAGCTGCCTTGATGGCGTACTCGATGTCTGGTTCTATCATTCCTGAACACGTACAGTGATATCAACGGGGTTGAGAAATACAATAACTCGTTACAGTTACTTTTTTTGGCAACTCTAACTTAACTTCGGTACTTTCTCCCCGCCTGCAACTGTAACTTAACTCAGTCACATTTTTTCGATAACTAGTAACTAATTTAATAGTTACATTAATAGTTACTTTATACATATTTTAAATCTCTGCGCACAAACGCCTTTATCAACACCGTACAATTCAAATGCAGATGTGATTCTTTTATTTTTATTGCAAGAAAGTTAACTGCAAAGTAACGATTCGTTACTTTTTGAGTAACTGTAACGCGTTACTTTTCACAATTGGTAACTTGTAACTGTAACTAGTTACATTTTTAGTAAAAAAAACTGTAATTAGGTACTTTTATAACATAACTTTCTCAACCCTGTAAGGAAGTTATGTTCTTTACACCAATTGATCGGTGTCAATATTCACAGTAATAAAAGTAATTGAGGTAAGATTACCGAAAACTAAATGTTCCACAAGATGTTTTACTTTTTATGTCAAAAAATTATTAAACTTCAAGCCTTATAACTGAAGAAGTACTCAATAAAAAAAAATTTATTCTAGCGTCTTGGAAAGCTCTCGAGATAAGCTACAAAAATATGCAATAAACACTACTATGTAATGCATCACTTAAAGCCCTACAACTTTTGTAGGAAACATATTTTCTATCTTGCATATTTTCAAAGTTATTCGGGGGTTCCGGTCTTTTTTGAACACCCTGTATTTTAAACCCCCACAGATCGCATTAGGCCTTGCATTTACGGATACAAACGCCTTTATCGACACTTGACAATTCAAATAGCGTAATTTCCCGGGAAGAAATTCAAGTAAAACCCGTCTAATGATCATAGCTTATTACACGATTGAGGTCCAAGTGACATAAGTCGAGCCGAAGGGAGAAGTGGAGTCACTCACCAGCTTGGAGAACGTGAGAATAAAAATTGGAGACGTGGTAAAAAGTATTCAGAAGCAATTCGTAAGTAAAGGCCGCCTTAAACAAGCTGGCGTGCGACAATGACACGTAATCGTCTCGTCGGGCTGTCAAACGGTGACTGATCGAGAAACGGTACCCGCGGGAGGTTCCGGGATCGTGGGATGTTCCCGGCAACTGCGCGCGCGTCTCTCGGCCGCCCAGGTCTCGGTCATGATTTATTCAAGTAAATAAATGTCACCGTCGTGTGTCATTAGACCGATAAGTTTGAAATGCAAATGGCATTTGCGGCGGCGCATCGGATACCACCCTCCAATTAAATGTCCACGCGAACGGTCCCGGGCGGCCGCGCGGGAACTTGGCGGGTGTTCCGAAGTCGGACACAATGCGCCGCGCGCGTACGCACGCGCGGAGGGCAATTTTCGTTTCCGCGCGGCAATCCGTTATGTTACATTGAGGGACAACTTATCCCCCGGAAGTTTCCGGGATCGCGGGGATGTTCCCGGAGACTGCAACGCGCGCCATCTCGGTCGCCCGCGAGCACTCGGTCATGATTCATGCAGGCAAATAAATGTCACCGTCGTGTCATTAGACCGGCTCATTTGAAATGCAAATAGCATTTGCCGCGCGCATCGGATGTACTCTCCAATTAAGTGTCCGCGCAAACTTTTCCCGTGGCCCGGGCGGCCATGGCAAGTTCGCGGGGTGCTTTGAAGTCGGATATAGATTCGCCGTAGGACCGAGCGTGAAACTCGATATCTAATTACGCGCTCTCCCGAGTCGCCGACCGGAAGCAAGATCGTCAGTTTCCCCTCTGTGTGTTTGCGAGCGGGCTGGGGTGAACACGAGCGGACTCTCCCTGATTGATCTTCGGGCCTCGCGCCCCTCGCGCCTGGCAGTATCGCGCCGGAACGTCCATATCAGCCGTTACGTATGTACATCCGACGGAAGACGGAATCGCGTTTCGCTCTCGATCTGATTGAAATCTGCCGCCGACACGTCCGCGGGGACTTTTCGCAGTTATCGACGCGCGCTCCGGACTCGCACCTCGTCGTCAGCGAAAATCAAACGCACGCGGGGGAAAACGCCGTTATTTAATTCCCCCCTTCGCGCGCGCGGATCTGCAACGAAGATCGCGGAAATGTGAGTAGCGCGCTCGGATTACAGAAACGTAACTTGGAGAGATGCAGGTCGGATATGTCGCAGACAGACGGTCTGTATCTAGTTTCAATCTTCGTTCAAAGTCTCTCCGATGGGGGAAGCCCCGCCCGATCGAGTTCTCTCGATCGACGAATCCCGAAGATTATTATGCAACGATGGAATTTCAATCGCGCGGGCCTCTCTGTCGTAATTTTTTAAGTGCGTCGAAACGTTCGACTCGCTTAAAACGAATGAGCCTTTCCACTCGACTCGCTCGTGTTGGTGCTCAACACGTTCGCGCCGGCAACACGTGGGATTCGTGTGAATGCGAGCGGTCGGGCCGAGTTTTCGGAAGTATCGAACGGGTTCCGTGTCTCACTCGGTCCCCTCCCCTGTCCCCGTGCTCTCCTTGCGTCCCGTTGGGTCCCGGAGAACTCTACTTTGGTGATAGTATCCTGCCGCCCGTGTTGTCCGACGCGTTGCCGAATTTTGGCAATGATTGATGGCTATTAAGGACCGGGCCAAACCCGCGCCGCCCGTTCGGCGCGCCGGGCCCTCCGCGGCGCGCAACGTCGTTACATTTGCGAGATCGCAATTAAAGCAAAAATAGCGCGGCGCCGCGCGAAACATCAGGGCTGGACCAACGTCCCGCCGGCGCCCGCGGGGACCGTCGCCTTCGGAAATCAGCGGTGAAGATGTAACGCATTTTTCTATCTGGAAAATATCGAGAGCGTAAAAATTACGCGCTTGCACCAAGTTCTCGAGGGTGCACCGAGAAAAATGCTGCGTGATTGTGCCAAGAGACGTGTAAAATAGAATGTATTTTGGTCAAACAGAATTTCCAGTCGCGCTAGAGCTCGATACTTCATAATCGGAACGTTTGATAGACTTCGCTACGCGTCTAGTAAATCCCAGAGAAATTTTGATACGTCCATTTTCTAACAGACGACTGGTTGAATCTATCAGATTTCTAATTAATGCAACCAGATTTCTTTCAGTGTAGACGTAAAAGATTTTTGTACAAACGTTGCAGATCGTTTGTTACAAGTTGCGTTGCAGGCGGTTTCAATCGCGTCACTGTTTTTGTTCTCGTTCGAGCACTCCGACGGGGTTCGATGCTTCAATTTTTTCCTTTTTTCCGTTATCACGCACTCGGACCTGAAAGCTGCGAGTTGCAAAACACGATCGGCGCACATTCATCCTCGTGTAATGAAATGAAGCGCGCGCCGATCCGCGATCCCGCTCTCAGAGACGTCGCATCCGGTGGCGCACAACGACGCCTGATGGGATTGCAGTTTGACGAAGGGCCCGAAGGGGCGGACGGAGGGAAAGATCGATGGTCGCCGGCAGGAGAGGCGAGCGTCGATGAAAAGGTCAAAGGTTTCAGGTGTGTTTGCGCTTCGCGCACGGCTGGTACAGGTGCAGCCTCTTCCGCGGCTCTGCTCGCCGTTGCAACAGCAACATACATGACTCTTTATTAACAACAATTAACATTTGGCCCATTGTTCATACAAGGATATCTCTCGTTGACAAGGCGCGACACCGCCTGGCGGCCGCGATTCGGACGCGCACGGGCCTCATCTCCGGCCTGACGCGATTGCGAGGTGCCATCGACGGGGATTGAACGAATCAGCGGTGATCTTGATGTAAATTTGCAAGATTGTTGCAACGGCAAAGTGTTCTCCATGTAAAACAGGCGGCGACGCCGGTTACTTCGGACTTTGCGCGGTCGGCGAACGTTCTCGTAGCGCGTTCATTGTGTAATAAACGGCACGTCGTGAATGAAGGATGTAACTGATAAATTTCGAGGCACCGGTAAAAGAAACAAACGCTACAGAATAATCAATCTGCCCTATTCTTTGCCGCGCGCACGTCCGCAGTACGCAGGTTTGTGTTTTATGAAAACCCTCATTGGGACATAAACATTTAATCGCTCGGCTTGGAATGCATTTCAACGAAATGATTAAAGCGCCTTTATTAACGCTTAACGGCACTTTTAATCATCACAATGGGCGGGCAAACGCGACCAATGCATTCGCGTTTATTACGTTTTGAATCGGCAATCATCATTGACCGTCTCTCCTTCGTCCTTTCGACCGGCATTCGTTTTCCGTCCGGTCGCGACATTCGACGGGTCCCTCCCCCCCCCCCCCGGCTCAGCGTATTTACCATAAATGACCAATTGCCAGGCCAATCGATCCGCCCATTGATCGTATGTCGCAAACGGCCGGCTGATAAGGTTCGCGGGTAGCAGGCGGACATGCGCGCGAGCAAGATAACGCGGCGGCCGCAATCTCGGGGGCCGAGCCGCGCTCGGTCGGCGCGGACCGCCTTGCCCGTCGTGCTCCCCCGTTCCAAAGATTTACCAGTCTCCGGTTATGTTTGATGCACCATTATGTTTTCGATTACGGTAGGTTAGTTGCATCGGTAACGTCATCTCTGTCGTCAGCAACGCGCCGCCGATACGTCAAGGCCGGCGGGACACGTAATTGTTCCGCGTGGACGTCGCCGACGCACCGCGACGGTACGATGGAGAACGCTCGGCGGGCTTACCGTCACGTCGCGCGAACGGACAACGCCCGGGCCCTTTTACCCCGCCTCGCGGCTACGCGTCCCCCTGCCACGGATTACGTTGTAATTCAATAACCGTCGAATACTACGAGAATCGGCGCTAATGGATGCTCCGTTCTTTCCCCGCCGGAACTTTTCCCTTCGTCCGTTCTGTATAACGTAACGCGTGGTGTACGCGATATCATTAATGGATATCTAATACAATGTTAGATAAGATAATCTTCAATGCGCGGAGCGCCTAACTCTCCCCGTTCTATTTTCGAATATAGCGAATTTTCGCGTGGACACCGAGGGTCACGTTCTTGAATTGATGTTCCCATTCCGAACGCTGCTACCGGTATTTGACGGCGACAATGGCATTTAACACGACATCGGCGTTGTATTATTAATAATGATGGATAATGAAGGGTGTTCTTGCGCCGACTGTATGGTCATTCGGCTGGTAATGATCGGATACACGCTGCTCACGCAGACGGTACATCGGGTGCAGATAAATTGTGTGGTTGGCAAAAGATAGGAAGCTGGTAAAGTCGACGTGGAGGATATTTTTGTAGCAGCAGAGCAGAAGTGGCAGAAGCTAGCTCCCGCCTGGGTTCTATGCATATGATTATTGCAAAGGTCGGTCGCGTACATACACAGGCACGCGCGAATAAATTTCGTTTAAACAATGTGGCTCTTAAGCGAATTGTACATACGCGCGAGGTAGTTTTTAGATTAAATTTAAAAGTCAAATTAAATTCTGCAGGCGCGCAACTTGGTATTTAAAAAAAAGAATGGGGGGAAAAAAAACAATTTTGTTAGGACTTGGAGAGGAATTTTTGCACATTTTGTTCCTCCGGAAGAATTTCAGTATATTTTAAATATAAAATTCCTCGCGTACAATATTTTAAAAACAGAATGAAGCTACACCGGAGACTGATTAAAGTCGAAAGTTCTAATACGGCGGCAATGTAACTTACGAATTGTAAAGCCGTTGCCGTTAATTATGAATTTTTATACACTTTTTTATTTATCGGATTTTTATGCACAGATACTTGCCCGATCAGAGCAGTGTTACGTTTCGAAAGCTCCGCGCGATTCTTCCTTTCCGCAAAACTTTGAATAATTTCCTAAATAGAAGCGAACAAAAACTGATCTCGACAATATTGCTTTTTCGTTCTTCTATCTTTTATTACTCTTTCGTAATAAAAATCAGTTCGTATGTATCCAACAAACGAGAGCGCCTCTAGGTCCAGGCAAGATGTTGGTAGCCAACAATAATCTAAAATATGAATCCATATACCGTTTTCAACCTTGTCCTGGGCGCCAGCTTCTTTTCGAACATAACACAGTTTCAATGAGACGGAATCATTGTCGTCAAATTCACGTATTAAGTCGATAAACGATTTCTAATCATTTTTTTAACGCTACATTTAGTACCCTCCTCCCCATACTGTAAAGAAATCTTAGTTCGTATGTGGTCATACACGGAGAGAATTTTCTCTTAAGATTTATCCTGAAAGTCGTGCGATCGTGGCCTAGCCAAGTCCTAACAACATGACATTTTGAAGAACCTTGTGAGAGTCTTGACAACTTTTACCATACATTTGGTAAAATTTGTAAGTATAATTACTATAGTGAGATGGCATGGTAAAATTTCACAAAGCTCTCCGAGAATTCTTTGAAATGCCGTGTTGTCCCGCGATTGTAAAATTTTCAGGATAAATCTTGAAAGAACATTCTCTCCGTGCAGTCGATGTATATG